TGTTACGCCCCTCACATACTGTTGATGCCGTGTCCCGGCCGGAGCGACGAGACAAAAACACTAAAACCCATTACAAACGAGGCATTTGTTGCATCCAGTGGGGACATAATTACTGATTGTAATGACTTATACTGTGTTTTTACGCTTTGCTTTGCGTATTGCGCCGCGTAAACATAAAACCATGTCTGCATTTGTGATCGGAGAAATGCCAAACAATAAGTGCTACTCTACACTGCTCAAACTCGCGTTTGAATCATCAGTGGCAAATTCTTTAAATATAAAAAAATGTACTTACAGGCTGTGAGTCAGAAGCGCCAGACTGTCCTTGCAAAGTTGGATCTGCCCCACTTTATAGAAACAGACACCGGCATTGTAAGCTATACTTTCCCAGGAAACAGTCCTCCATAAAATGCGCTGCACACATCTGAATATTTTCAGCAAAAGAAACTTCTATCTTTTTTTTTTTTCACAAAAATGGTTTTGTTTCTCCAGTTTTATATATAAGGTTCTAATCTGTGCCCTTTACACAAAGAAGAAAAAAAAACACAAATAAAGAACAGCCTTCCATTAAGTGTTGTTAAAGCTATGAAATAACATGTATACACTGTAAACATTTCATCTAGCTACAACTTTTAATTGCTTTTAGTAAAATCAAACAGTTACGATTTATAGTGAGATGTTCATTTTATCCAACCAGCTTTAATTTCTTATACTGCTCATCAGGTTAAATCTTTGAGAAAAATGGCAGAAATTATTATAAAAAGTCAAATAGATGTTAAATACTTATAACATAATGGTGTAAAAAATGTGTAAAAATGCCTCACAAGAACAAATGTATTTAAATATTTGAATATTTTATTGGCGACAATTTTACAATAAGGTTTCACTTGTTAACATTAACATAAACTAACAAACTTCTATAGCGTTTATTAATGTTAATCTCAACATTTACTAATATGTTTAAGATCAAAAGTTGTATTTGTTAACATTAATTGATGCTGCATAAACTAACATGAACATAATCATTTTTATTAACATTAACAATTAAAAGTTAAGCTAACCCTTAACCCTTAGTTCATGTTAGTTAATGCATTAACTAATGTTAAGAGTGTTACTATTTTATTATTTATTATTTATTTTATGAATATATTAGTAAGGTGACCTCATCTCAACACCATCAACGTTTTTGTGCTAATTCTATATTTTATTTCTGATTGTGATTTTTCAATTTGCAAATTGGTTTTGCAATTAAGCACAAACCAGAACAAATTCAAGCCATTTAACCTCGCCAGCATCATTGCAGGTCTCAGTAGTATAAGCAGGGCCAATCACATTTCAGCTCATATACAAAAAAAACAAATCACATCCTTTCAAACCAATAGCTATCAGAAATCAGATTAGCTAATGAGGAGGGAGGTGTTTTGTGGCCTCCTTGGGTTTAAGGGCACGGGTTTCACGCTCTCTCTGCTCTTTAGGTACCAGAACTGCAGAAGAGGGTCTCTGTGTCTTCATTGCTGCTGAGGATACATCTGAGGAGGAGCACACATCACTTCCACAACGCGGCCAACGGTCAGTGTCTGCTTCTTGACATATACTACTGCTGTGAAGTTATTGTTGTTGTAGTCAGGAATCTAAATCAGAATTTAATTTTTACAGAAGTTAATTTTTTTTCATTGCAATGCATTGCATCCTTGCATTTTCCCAAGGTCATAAGTAATATGAGGTTAGCAGCATTTTTGTTAATGCTTATACTTCTTTATTGGTAAAATTGCTCATTTGAGCTGATACATATAAAACATGCATATTGATTTAGTATTTTGATGGCTCTCTAATTGAAATGTATATTTGTGGTACTTAGTTTTTGAAGAAACATGGCACTCGCAGGACACCTGAAGCAAGATGACATTGCAGCAGCTATCCAGGCTTGTCAAGGTGTGACTCACACACACACACACATGCAACTGATGATATTTATGCTTGTAATCTACAAGAACACACATTCATATGTGCTTACACATGTTAAACAGCTTTGTTATTCTCACTAACAGCAACAAAAATAAAGAGCTGCTTCACACACACACACACACACACACACTCACGCTTGCAGGGAGACTCCCATAGGCCGGTGAGTCCAGGGCATTGGGGATGGGTAGATCCAGGTAGCCAGGCAGCCGGGGGCTGGGGAGCAGTTGCCACCAAGATACCAGTGTGTTTGTGCCGAGCATCCAAGAGCACACACACACACACACACACACTCTTCAGATCACAATCATACTTACTGTAATTATTCATCACAAATGGCACACAAAAGCATGTTGTCCAAACCAATGGAATACATCTTATATAGCTATTTTTTAATCACATGCACATATTTTCAAAAATGATGCTAGAAAAAGGCCTAAATTTAAGATTTATTCATACGAGTTGCATATACATTTTCCATACAATTTTAACATGAAATAATAAACTTAATGCGATGCATATTTGTCAGTCAGATTTCTGCACTCAAAAAAATCATGGCATAGTTTATTATTAACTATTTGCATCTACTGATTTGATTTAAATAATCATAATTTTAAAATGAATTTATTCGAGAATAAATCAACATAAATCTGTACAATGTGAAAACAGTTTATTCAGTTAGAAAGTATGAACATGGTGAAAATATCAATGAAAAAAAATATTTTTCACTTGAAATTGCTAGTAAATTTTGCAGTTAATTACAAAGTAACATTGCAAGTAACACATTGAATTAAACAGGAAAGACTGAAATAGTATTTTCTTGTAAAAACGTACTCCAATAATCTTTGTTTTATTTACAACCTCAAAAATCAGCGATGGCTAGCTGTGTAACGAGCAATATTCAAATAGTTCAGTTATATGAGATTAATAAAAAAATTGGAATTATTGATCGTAAATATATAAACCTGCGGTTATTTCATGTACACTGTAAAAACAATTCCGTAAAATTTACGGTAAAAAACCGGCAGCTGTGGTAGCCGAAATTTTACCGTAAAAAATACGGTAGCAGCGTTTTAGGTTTTACGGTTTTAACTTAAATTTACAGTTAAATACCGTAATTTCATTAACTGATTAACCATTTAACAGGTTTTTACTGTAGCATTTTTACGGTCTTTTACCGTTAAATTCATGGTCATTTTTTACAGTGTATGTGTGACTGACAAATATGCATCACATTAGGTTTATCCGTTTGTTTATGTTAAAACTGTGTTCAGTCCAAATGGAAGGAAATTTTATACAAAATGCATTCAATTTAGGCCTAAATATTTTCATTGTTGTCTTCAGCCCCAGGGACTTTCAACTACAAGACGTTCTTTGAACAAGTGGGGCTAATGGGTAAAGCTACTTCAGATAGGGAGAAGGTGTTCAAGGCCCTGGACCAGGACAAGAGTGGATTTATTGAAAAAGAGGAGCTGAAGTAAAGTATTCTTTTTTTGACCTCAATCCCAACTTGTTTATTTGTGAATTGTATTCTTAGTATATGTAAGTGAATTGCTGCGTGCTTGTTCCAGACGCTTCCTCCAGAACTTCTGCTCTAAGGCCAGAGAGCTCACAGAGGCCGAGACCAACACTCTCTTGGCAGCTGGGGACAGTGACGGAGACGGCAAAATTGGGATGGAAGGTAAAGCCAAATCAGCACTTAGGCCATCCAGAATAGGCCCCTGGGAGCCGTACTCATATAGAAGGGCTCCTCCTTCAGTGTCTGGCTCCTGTTTCAGCCTGAGGGACTAATCAACAGTACAAATGAGAATCAGACCAATTCTACTTCATTTAAAACGTACAGACGTACTGCTTATCTTGAAAGACTGGGAATTCACTTTCTCCCCAGTCAAATTAACATGTCTTTCCAGCAGGGTGTTTGACTCTGTCAGTGAAGAAAATAACTTAGATCTGCATGTGTGAAGTATCCCCACTTTCATATTTACAGAATGCACAAAAAAAATCTGTTATATTATATTATATTATATTATATCTAACATTTGGGGCTTATTTGGAAACACCACCTAAATATTTCTGCTTAAATTTTTTAAATTAGTTGAATTTCTTTCCAAAATAGATTTTAAAAATGAATTTGAATAAATAGAATACATTTTTAATATATGAATTGGACAATATTGACTGGAAAACTAAAAAAAAAAAATTGTCTGTGAAAAACAAAACAAAACAAAAAACTTAAAGGGTTAGTTCACCCAATTTAAACTAGGCTGTGTTTTACTCACCCCTGAGGCATCCTAGGTGTATATGAATTTCTTCTTTCAGATGAATCCAGTCGGAGTTATATTAAAAATTGTCTTTGATCTTTCAAGCTGTTTAATGGCACTCAGCGGGTGTTGCATGCATCAGTCCAAAAGCAGTTAAATAAAAATTGCCCATCCATAAAAAAAAGTCTCTCACACGGCTCCGGGGGGTGAACAAAGGCCTCCTGTAGCGAATCGATGTGTTTTTGTAAGAAAAATATCCATATTCAAAACGTAATAATCACTTTAATGTAGCTTGCACCAACAGTTGTACACGGAAGCAGCTCCGGGCAGATGACGTATGAGTTCAGTGCTGCACATGCGCCGGTGAGGCTCGTGAAAACCAACGTTTGTTTACAGGATCAAAGGAAGCAAAGGAAAACCAGTCTCCTCTTTGCTTATATCGAAATCCTCCGACATTCTTCTTTACAAATCCTCGTTTTGTACTTCTAATTAGTGACCGTTGTTTTGTTTCAGCCTAATTTTCATTTTTGGGTGAACTATCCCTTTAAGTTTGCATTAATTTAGAGTAGCACTTTCATATTTACAGTGTGTACCGAGATTTTCTAAAAAGAGTTTTAAATATATCTGAACAGTATCAAATATTTAGGACAGCATTTCACTTGTTTTTTTTTTCTCGCCTTTCTTCTTTTTCTCTCAGAATTCTGCGCCTTGCTGAAATGAAAATGTGATGAATGTCTTCACTGACTTGAACTTCATTTCATGATTCTCTCTTATTTATTTGCATGCATTACCTATTATTGCTTTTTATGTGAGTTGCTTATTAAAATATGTTTAGCAAGTCTTTGTAGTAAATGTGCAAATTGGGAACAAATAAAAACTTGCTTCTGTAACTAGTGATCATATGAAACTGCTCAATAAAATGAAGTCTCCAAATACGGAAATTCTTTTATCCAGATTCCAGCTTTGCCTCATGTGATCTTTTATTATTTTCAAGTGTATGAAATACATGACATGACAACAATAAAAAACAATACAATAAATAAAATAAATATTACAGAAAATTAAAACAGAATTTTAATTTTGGAGAGGAAAATCACATCCAAATCAATATAGGAATAAGAAAGCATTACAAACATTACAAAGAAAAAAAAGATATTAAAATAATATTAATTTAATAATAGGAGGATACACTGCAAAAAAAAAAAAATTTTTCAAAGTTGTAAATAAAACAAATATTATTGAAGTACGTTTTACAAGAAAATACTACTTCAGTCTTTATATGTCAACATTTCATGTTTATTTCAATGTGTTAAATTTCTTTGTGAATTTCTGAGTGAAAATTGTTTCTACATTTGTTAGTTTTTTTTCCAGTGGAAATAAGAAATAAAAATAATGGCTCAAATAATTTAAAAGATTATCAATTATTTAAAAAAAATATAAAATTGCATTTAACCATTCTGTTTTACACTGTAAAAAATGATTTTTCAAAGTTTTTTCAAAATCAAACAAAGGTTATTGAAGTATGTTTTACAAGAAAATACTATTTCAGTCTTCATATTTCACATTCTTTGTGAAATTTACCAGCAATTTCTGAATACAGATTGCTTCATAGATCCTGCAGCAATTCTTTTATCAGCGTACAATAAAACTGAAGGATGTTATGAAGCTTTCATCTTCAGATTGCACAATGTAGGCCATGTAAATTGAGTAATAATTCAATATGAACACTGAAACCAATAATATCTCCTGTGCAATCAACACACACTTCTGCTAAAGTTTCAGTATTGATCATAATAAGCCACTGAGTGTTGCTGTGAATTATTCTTATCACGCAATGACATGATTTACAGCCTTGAGACGCCGTTTATTGCAGCACTGCTCTCCGTCCAGAGTTTCTAACCTGGAAGAGAAACCCGATTCGGCCCAATCAAACAAACACACGTTCAGTGATATATCTGATGTGTTTATCAACCCTTTTGTACACAAGTGTCAAATTAAGGAGGAATGAAAGTACACATCTTGATGATACGGTGGGAACAGACATCTGCTTAACCTGAGTTGGCTGAGGGCCTCATGATCTATAGGGTCCCACAAATGGTTCTGAACATCATTTGTGAGACTAAAAATAGCCCAACTTGACTACTGGACACATTTTTTTCGACACTATTCCAAACGTAGACCGACATGCAGTATCTGTTACAGAGCATTGAATTCCTGTAAATGGGGAGGCTGAGGGTATATAAGCTGGGACCCCCAGAAGTGTGAGTCACACCTCGACTAACTCCTTCGGTTTTTCACTCGCCTTAGACAAGCGCAAGGTGAGTCCGTGCAGCAGATGCATTCGTCTACAGAGGCTCGTCGGCATATTAATACTTTAGGATCAGGCTTTTCATCATCGCAGCACACGGACAGGGCCTGTGGAATATGTTGTGTTGGTGACGGGGAGCATCAGGAGGCATCTGTGCTTCGCTGTGGAAGCTGAGGCTAAAGACGGGAGACCTTGGACGCTTGACGCTGAGGATAACTAGATGATAAAGAAATGACGAATGCTTTGCGATCAGTTAGTGTTAACTGCATGGGTAGTGCTTTAGTGCTCTCAGCCTCTGTTGATAGGTGCAAATGTTTATGTTGCATCTGTGAAAGAGGAAAATCAGGCACGGCTGATGGATCTAGAATTTAGACCGTCCATGATACATGTGTAGGCGTCGTGTTTGGGAATACAGAGTTGTTTATTGATGTACTGCATTGCATAAGTTTTGTGAGTTGTTCTTATTCAACATTCTGCTATTTTGCAGCTTAATCAGAACCAGAACCATGGCCGTTGCTGCTATGCTCGCCGCAGCTGATGTGGATGCTGCTATTGCTGCCTGCCAGGGTAAGACATCATGTGATAATCTCACATTACAACTCATAACAACTGGGTAAACACTATGTAATAAATGCCATTCAGAAGTCATTCACAACTGCTTAACAGATCGGCAGTTCGAGTACATTCAAATATAAAGACGGAATAACCAAACAATGACATTTCTGACTATATGAGTACACATCAACTAATGATCTGTGAAGAACTGCAGAATGCAGTGGCGTTTGCTAATGATTTTAAAGATTTTAATTAAATATTAGCTGCTACCAACAACATAAATGTAATCTAAAGATTTGATATTCATGAATAGACATTGACTCGTATAGACTAATGAATAAACAAATAATGCTTAAGAGGTGTAAAGAATATAACCGATTGTAAGATTTCTAAGACATTATTATCTAATATTTCAGGTATATGCAAACTAGTGCTGTCAAACGATTAATCGCGATTAATCGCATCCAAAATAAAAGTTTTTGTTTACATAATATATGTGTGTGTACTGTGTATATGTATATATAAATACAAACACATGCATGTATATATTAAAGAATATGTTATGTTTATATATTAAATATATAAAATATAAGGATATAAATATATAAATGTATATACATGTAAATATTTTCAAAATATATACTGAATGTGTGTGTATTTATATATACATAACAAATAACCACAGTACACATACATATATTATGTAAACAAAAACTTTTATTTTGGATGCGATTGCACTAATATTAACAGCACTAATGCAAACATGATCTAAAGGTTTCTGCTTAAATTGTTAAAATTTAAACAAAATAATACATTTTTAATAAATGAATTGGACTAAATATTAAATTACATAGGAACTCCTTTAACACTATTTAAAAAAAAAAAATCAAAAACCAGTCATAAGGGTCGATTTTTCGAAATTGAGATTTATACATCATCTGAAAGCTGAATAAATAAGTTTTCCATTGATGTATGGTTTTGTTAGGATCGGACAATATTTGGCTGAGATGCAACTATTTGAAAATCTGGAATCTGAGGGTGCAAAAAAATCAAAATATTGAGAAAATCATCTTTAAAGTTGTCCAAATGAAGTTCTTAGCAATGCATATTACTAATCAAACATAGTTTTGATATATTTACAGTAGGAAATTTACAAAATATCTTCATGGAACATGATCTTTACTTAATATCCTAATGATTTTTGGCATAAAAGAAAAATGGATCATTTTGACCCATACAATGTATTTTTGGCTATTGCTACAAATATACCCCAGCGACTTAAGACTGCTTTTGTGCTCCAGGGTCACAAATGTGAAAAATAAGAAGAGTAAGACGTGCATGTGCAAACCTTTGACTGGTGAATATTGAAAGGAACATACGGGTCTCTTAGTGAGCATCACAACCTATTTTGTCTATAACATTTTGATCAAACCTGAACCCAACCCTCTCTCCACACGCAGCTGCTGACTCCTTTGACTACAAGGTTTTCTTCGCCAAGGTCGGTCTGGCCGCCAAGTCCACTGATGACGTCAAGAAGGCTTTCGCCATCATTGACCAGGACAACAGCGGCTTCATTGAGGAGGAGGAGCTGAAGTGAGACTCTTTATTAATCATTCACACTGCATAGTGTAAAAGAGCGGCAGTCGAGGGCTTAATAACAGGCCTGTGCTCTTCCTGTAGGCTGTTCCTGCAGAACTTCAAGGCCAGTGCCAGGGCTCTGACCGACAAAGAGACCAAGGCCTTCCTCTCTGCTGGTGACAGTGATGGTGATGGCATGATTGGAGCTGAAGGTACGTGAAAAATGGCATCTTGACCCCATGTTACATCTCGGATGAGATCAAGAAGTCTAAGTGTTTTTTGAGCTTGGTAGTGGAACTTGCCTTTTTTTGGTAAGAAAGCTTGGGAATAAACTCCACAAGTCGAGTAAAGCCTACAGTATATCACAGAGGAAACTGAAGGCAAATGGCCTGAAATTGTTTGTGATATTTGTTTGAAATCTGTTTATATATATATCACAACATAACATCACTCGAGCCTTGTTTGGTCAGGCCAATAGTTCAGATTTCTACTCGCTCTGCCAACATTTACACTGGCCTGTTAAAAATGTACATTTGTAACTGTAGATTTTTACACGTATATTTTGATATCCGTGACCCTGGAGCACAAAAGCAGTCTTAAGTCGCTGGGGTATATTTGTAGCAATAGCCAACAATACATTGTATGGGTCAAAATTATCCATTTTTCTTTTATGCCAAAAATCATTAGGATATTAAGTAAAGATCATGTTCCATGAAGATATTTTGTAAATGTCCTACTGTAAATATATCAAAACTTAATTTTTGATTAGTAATATGCATTGCTAAGAACTTCATTTGGACAACTTTAAAGATGATTTTCTCAATATTTAGATTTTTTTGCACCCTCAGATTCCAGATTTTCAAATAGTTGTATCTCGGCCAAATATTGTCCGATCCTAACAAACCATACATCCATGGAAAGCTTATTTATTCAGCTTTCAGGTGATGCATAACTCTCAATTTCGAAAAATTGACCCTTATGACTGGTTTTGTGCTCCATGGTCACATTTATTTAAATATATATTTAAAAAAATTATACTACACATTTTCCACACATATAAATGTATTTAATTTTCATAATATTTGAAGTTTTCTTTACAAAGAAAATTTGCAATAATATTTTCAACCCATACTTTACATTAAAAACATTACAAAAATGTAAATTTCTAATTGCAGATGTCATTTGTCATTTTTTACATATATATTCTACTTAAATATACATTTATTCATGTGCAAAGTTTAAAAATACAATTTCTTATTAGAAATTTTCCACACATATAAATGTATTGATTTATTTTCATCCAATCTTAAGGAAAATTTGCAATAACTTTTTTTTATCCCATTCTTATGGATGCTACTGAGTGAAACATTTTTAAAAATGTAAATAAATGCATATAAATATATTCACTTTTTCCGCCAA